TGTGTGTGTGTGTGTGTGTGTGTGTGTGTGTGTGTGTGTGTAAAGATGGCCAAGGTCTCCATCCTGATAATTGCTCAAATTCACTCATGCCTGCCTGTCACACTTAAAGGAGAGCATTAGCTGATGCTCTTTCCTAGTGGCTGCACTAACTAGATGGGAAAACACCACCAATTGAATTGACCAATCATTGCCCTTCAGTGTTTTACAGTAAGCCTGAAAAGATATATCCATTTACAAGCTTTAATGAGACAGATTAGGGTTCAGATTTCAGGGCAGTGCAAATTATGTTGTGATATACTTTTTCAAAGACTGAAAGGATGTATATTGGTGTAGCCATAAAAATCCTTTAGCTGACATATCCTACAACAGTGGCCACGTTCACTGAGAACTGTTGAAATTGTAATCTAACATACCTGTGTCATACACACACCCCAAATCATGAAAGACATGTAGTGATTCTTCCAGGCAGATTTCTTTATTGTTCCACACCTATAGACAGAATCTTGCCAAACTGAAGCCCCCTACTATCTACTGTATATCAAGGATATAATCTGAGAATTATTAAGGAGCAACTGTGTTCACCCTCTTTCTCTCACACAAACTATCTGAACTGAGCTGTGGAATACACTCCATCCCTCCTGGGAATCCTGCTCACAACATAAAATCACATCCTGCCAAGGAATCAAATTGGATTAGGTTGAATTATATTAAAAAGAAATATGGACTATACATGAAAGGAACACATCTGAATAGGAGATGGAGATGTAAACATGAGTCAACTTGTGTTGTCAGTTATCCAGATGTTTGCCTGACAGTCACACTCATAACTTCATAACAGCGCTGAAATTCAATCACAGCAATCCAGTAACAGAAATGTTAAAAGGAGGAACTTACAATGAATGACATCTAGCCTTGTAGGTTCACCAAGCTAAATGCTAGCATTATTCTGAATAATTTAAAAGGATCTTTTCTAAGCACTCTAGAATCTAATTTTTAATGAGCTAGTCAAAATATAGTTTAGAAACAGATGAATTAACAAAGACATCAACAAGTACTCTATACAATTCAATTGTTGATTTTTTTTTGTCTTTTCAGTGATGCTCCAGCATCAATTCTGAAATAATTATAGAGAGAGGTGGATGAAAATAATGCTTTTTATTAAGCGGGAAAGGCATTTTTGAAGCATTCTAGGAAACAGAAATTTATAGAGGTTTTGCATTGGTAACTCTATTTTATTGCTACACCAATTAAGGTGGTTATTAATGCATGGGCCTTTTCGCTTGCATGTTGTGTGAATGTTGCTGAGTCCTGTGAAACACCACAGTTTGTATAAATAAGTACACTACTTTCATGCTACCCAACCTCTAGTGAATATCCATCTCTGAGGTCATGCAGTTGCCTAGCCCTCCATATATGTGTGAATGTATGCGGAGGGAAGCAAATGTGTGTACAGAACAGCTTTCCCCAGTGTTGACATTTTCCACATTTGCAGATTCCAACTCAGAATCCTCAGCTGTAGCCATGCTGACTGGAATCTGGAAGATGAAGTCCACTGGGAAAAGGGGGTGGCAGAATTGATGTTGGCATAATTTTTGCCAATTAAAGATGGGAGGAATGTAGGTTAAGGAGGCAGTGAGGAAAAATCCTATTTATGATATGAGATTTATGTACAGAGGCAGTAGTGCAGTTTAATAATTTGATTTTGGGGATACGTTTGTTGCTTTATTTTTTTATTATACTGTTTCATTAGAAACATTTGAAGCAAAAATATGATTTTAAGAAGCAGAATCATTTTCAGTGCAGCTATTTTATTGAGCAGTGATGATAATTAAATTAATGTAGATTTTTGGACTCCATACAGTAATAGAACCTATTTTAATTTTATTACAGAGGATCACCAGACCGAGATGGAACTGTAAGTTTTAAAGATATTTCTTCCTTAAATTAGCCTTTATTTTCAACTAGTTGTATCCAATAGAAAATATGCCTTAAGCGTTCTTAAATCTTCTTCCCTATTTCTATTTTAATATTTTGAATATATTCACTATATTCTATAGTTAATGTAGAATATTCTATATTTTAAATTTACATAATACATTTCAATATATTTTGATTTTACTTGTATCTAGTCTAAGGCCTTTACCTCCTCTTCAAATTTCAAAAAGTTTCAATTATACCAAGATTTAAAATTGGAAAAGCAGTTTCTGTAATTGAGAAAATGAACTGAAGGTCATCACAACCAGGAAAAAATAGAAATAAGAAAGAAGATCTGCTCTTAAATTATTGTTGCTTTCATTTATGGGCTTAAGATTTTCATACATGCTAGAACTAATTTTAGAAAGAAACTTACTTCGGCTATTAGACTTTATGTTTGCCATAAAGAATGTTGGGCTCAGATACAAATTTAACTTTGTTTTATATTGGTTCCTGATTTCAGAAGGCTTCTTCATATTTATCTGGTGAGAAAAAAAATGGGGGTAATTGTTGAGTGTGCTCAACAGATCTTCACAAACAGACTGAAGACCCAGAAAACTCCTATTATTTGCTTTCAATATTTTTGTATTTTATTCTATAATTTAATAAAAATGTTATTTAAAAAAAGGAATGAAGACCTAGAAATTTTGAATCCTAAGGGCCTTTCCAGATGATACTTTTCTGAACAGTGAATGAACTTCTAGTACATGGATTATGAGCTGGATTCATGAAGTCCAATTGATGTCCAGAAAAAAGCATTTTCCCAGCATATTTATGTCACGGGTGAATGTTGGTTCTTCTAGCTGGCATGTCCATCTAGTTTTGGGGGCAAAGCTGTATTGGTTGAATTGTGGACTGAATCATATAAAATCTCATCATTAATGACCAGCATCCTCTACCTACCAATTTTATAATTCCTGATTGAAAGTTTCTCCCATTCCTTCTTTTAAAAAGTTTGTGTAATCCCTTACACAATACAATAATATAGAATTCCATATGTTTATCCTTTTTAAGAAGTGATAAACTTAAAGAATATTTTTGTTTCCTTTTTAAAAGTAATCATCTATTATAAAAATGGTTTCTTTTAATTGAGTTCTGAGTTGGGAAGGTTTTATTAATATAGAAATATATGCCTTCTAGATACCTTTTTAAAAGTGTCTTCTGTGAAGTAAGGCATCTTTTGCTTCCTCACAATTACACTTCTTACTACTGCTGAGAGTGAGCTTTGTCTTCTGGAAAAGTCCTAATACAATTTTTGCTGATCTAACTTTTTGAACATCTGACCCAAGATCCTTAATCCTCCCACCTTAACATAATTCCTTTTCAGCCCAATAGCAGTGATTTCCGAAGAACTGAATTGGGTAGAAATGCTTGTAGTTGCAATCTAGGTTGAAAAAAGCTGGCATCTACACATCATCCTGCATCCCCCTTATGTCCCCTCATTGCATTTAATTTTCCCCTTTTTCTTTTTAAACAAAAGTAGACCACACCTGGAACACTTATGTATAACAGTTTGGTCAAAGCTCTGTTCAGCAGAAGAAGAAAAAAGACATAGACTTTCCTAACTTGCAAGCTGATTCATTCCTCAGATCCCATTCATAGAGCAGTCTACTCTGTACTGATAATTTAAACTAGTGGTTCTTCAACTGCTTGACAAATTACACCTTTTCCCAGTCTCGGCTAATTTCATTCATTCATTCATTCATTCATTCATTCATTCATTCATTCAATCAATCAATCAATCAATCAGTCAATCAGTCAATCCATCAATCAATCAATCAACCAATCAAAATTTTATTGCCATCGATCTCAATGAATATGGGCAACAATAAAGCAATAAAACAGTCAAACCAATAAAAATACTAAACCCGTTCAATGAAATATACATAGGAGCAAGATACATGGCTACTTAGCAACATAGCCAGGAAATGGGGTCCTTGACATAGTCAGTGGCCCAGGCTCCAGTACACAGCCAGATGTTTAAGGTATTATGAAAAGCTAACATGGTTGGAACTATTCTGATCTCTGGGGGAGGGGGTGTTCCATAGTGCAAGGGCCACTGCAGAAAAGGTTTGTGTTCTGGTCCTGCCAGCTGACATTCTTAGATAAGTGGTGGTTAAACTGGGGATAATTACCCAAAATTATAATTTGGCATATCCTTGGAACAATGGAGCAATTCATTAAAGACCCTTTTTTCTGTGGGAGCAATGACTCCAACTGGTGCAGAATGCTTTGTGCAGCATGATCATTCTGCTTTACATGGTTGGACAGGTAGAAACTCTTGAAAAAAGCTGATCCCTCAGATACCCCAGTCCTAAGCCATGCAAGGTTTTAAAGGTAATCCAAATAGTACTTTGAATTGCACCTGGAAATCCACCAGTAACCAGTGCAGCTCACACAAAAGTAATGTTACATGTGCCAAATATCTGGCAACATTTACTATCTGTGCAACCACATTCTGCACCAGTTGGAGTCATTACACCCACAGAAAAAAAGGCTCTATTGTTTTACACAAACATCTCAGTAATAGTTGTCTCCATCCAAATCTTCAACTCACAAACAAGCCCTTATGAATTGTTCCATTGTCTCAGGATGGGCCAAATTGTCAATTTGGGTAATTATCCCCAGTTTAACCACCACTGATCTAAGCACAAGAAAGAGTTGGTAGCTTTCCTGGAGCTGCTATTGGACATGGAGGCAACAAAATACAGTCCTTTCTTCTTTAAACACATCCCAGCTTGCTTACATCATTCACAAAGTGGAGCCCATAGGTTTTGCATATAGCATGTGCACCATAGCTTTGTCACACAGATGAAATAATTGTGTTCTTGGATTTCAGTGTTTGAAGCAAATACAGAGGCCAGATCATTTGCATGATGATGTCATGACAGATGTATTGTCCTTTGTCCTCATTATCCTCCTAGAAACATCCTAAAATCTGTGTTTTGCCCTTGCCCTATCTTACTAGCAACTTGGGGAGACAAGCAGTTTATATTGAGGAAATAAAGGGGGAAAGAGTAAGTCTTCCCTGCCACTCACTGTCTTGATTTATTTTTCCTTCCCACTTTCTGCAATCTTGGTTAGTGAATTATTTTTAATAGCCAAGCATATTTTTTCCACACAGCTTAGAATTTGGCTCGCACAGTTTAAATCAAATCAAATCTTTATTAAAGTCATGATCATTGACTCACACAGATACAGTTTCCATTAAATCAGCCATACTAATAATGTGCTCGTGTAGTTTTCTGTTCCTCCCATCTTTCCATTTTCAAGCAAAATCATATTTCTGAAAAATTTAAAATGAGACAGGGAGCTTATCAAGCAGGTAACTTTCTTATAACTTTGCCTTCTGTCTTCAGTCTTTGGCTTCATCTTTACTTCTGTTAGTCTGGTATATTCACTGTCTGTGACACCTAGTTCTTTTCTCTGGGTTTCAGTACTGCTGAAGCCTGAAGCTAAAGATTATTTTTATCCAATAATTTTGCATTCTTTCAAATGACATTATTTGCTTTTCATGTGACTACGGAGATTCTCAATCATCCAGGTCATGGTTGTCCCAAAGGTGCTTTTTCAAGAGGCAACTGGACTTTCTGATTTTTCTTTGAAAAATTCCTTTAACTTCTCACCCAAGAAGCTTCTTCAGCTGTGACACCATTCCCCACTATCCTGTCAGCTCTGAAGAAGCTTCTTGGATGAGAAGTGAAACGCCTTCAAAGAAAAACCAGAAAGTACAGTTGCCTCTTGAAAAAGTACATTTGGGATTTCTATTCTATAGTTTATAAAATATGTTAAATGTCTCTTAAAATGGTATAAGAAATTTTCTTCCTTTGTGGGACATGTTTACTCTGACTAGAATGATTGGGACTATATTCCAGTCAGTAGATTTCCCATCAGGCTCAATTTTGTTCCTAGTTTCAAAGTTTGATATTGTGAATAAACCTAAATCTAAGAAAAGCTGTTTATTTAGTAAACTGAAGAATTAATTGCAAGTTTCTGGATGTGGCATCTCCATTATTACAAAACAAACTTTCAATTTTTATAGTTTCTATCCCATCTTGGAGTAACAACCCAATACAATCCATGACTACAGTTTCTAGTTCTAAGAAAATACCATCTTTCCTGCAACTATTCAAAACTTACTGAACACCAAAATAGTATTGATCTCTTTTCTCACAGACAAACAGGATGAATTTAGGATCTTATCCCTTTTATATAGTTCAAGATTGCTTAATTAAATTATTCCTAAAATTGATCTGTCCAGTTTTATCGGAAAATATATACTGCATTGAAATACAAAATTGAAAAGGCTATTGACTGATGAAAAAGAGAGAGAAGAGGAAGATGAGGTTTTAAAATACATAGCAATCTAATGTTCTCTTAATAGACCATGAAATGATATTTAAAATCATGATAGCTGTCAGCTGAATTCCCTTACAATGCCTAACTTCTGATGAATAGAGCGGTACTCTATGTTCCAAAATAGTCTGCTGATAGCAACATTAATTTGGCAAATAATTCCTTCAGAAAGTGCATTTTCAGCTTGCTTACTCCATGTAGTTTTCATGTATTTATTTTTAAGTCAAACCACCAAACACTTTAACCCTTTTTCTACAAAAAACAAAATCCATTCCAGCCACCCAGCCCTCATCCTCATGATCCATCCTACAATAGCAAACCAGAATGTACCCAGGAAGGCGGAAAAGCAGTTTCGGTAAGAATGTGAATATTGGCTTAAAGCTTCAAGTGGGTTGGTTACAATGTTGAAACTGCAACAGTTTTGTTTTTTTCTTTAAAATTCCCTAATGCATCTTTGATATTCTTCATGTGTTATGTATTGCAATGTACTTTCATCATTGGTGCTCCAGATAGGATGACTAATGCTTCACTTTTACACAAACTACGATCTAAGTGGTGTAGCTCTTTGTAATTGGCAGGGTAGCTTTTTGTCAATGAACATACTTTCTAAGTGCTGTTCAAGGCTTTCTGGTATGGCACCCAGTGTGCCAATAGCCACTGCAGCAACCATGGATGTTTCTTATGTGTTTATATTATAAGTTCATATTTATTTATTAGATTTGTACCCTGCCTTTATTATTTTGATAAATAAGTCAAGGTGGTGAGCATACCTAATACTCCTCCTCTTCCTATTTTACCCGCAACAATCTTTGAGGTCGGTTGGGCTGGTAGAGAGTGACTGGCCCAAAGTTACCTGGCCAGGTTTCATTTTTAAGGCGGGACTACAACTCACAGTCTCCTGCTTTCTAGGCTATCACCTTAAAGCATATACTGTATATACCTAATCATGGTTAGACGTTAATTAGTGTTTTGTAATAGAAAGCTTTTGGATGGGGGAATCAAGTAATATTAATTCAAATAAATTAAATGGAAAACAGACTGTTTGTTTTATGAAGCTTGGCTTAAAATGGTGTTTATAAAAGAAAACCTTGGCTATATTATGTTAATAATACATTATTTTGAAATGAAACTATGCATCTTGATTCTGCATGTTATATGCAAAAAAAACCTTTAAATATTCTAGAATTGTTATTATTGTTATATATACAATACTGGGAAATCATGTCATAATATACCAGCATAGTAAATATGTAGAATCAAGCAGTATGTCCTTTTGCAATTGACAGATGGAAATTTTGTCATTGCACAGATTTTCTAACTGTTGTTGAAGATTTTCTGGTGTGGCACCCAGCATGCCAATAACAATTGGGGCTACTAGTTATGCTATAATATTTTGATTTTAATTTTCAGATCTTTATACTTTGATTTTTGGGGGTTTTGTATAAAGTTTTTTACTTTTTTAACATGTCGAAGTTTCATTTTCAATTAAACAGTGTGTTGTCTGGTTATAAATAGTTTGAAAGATAGCAATCATAATGTTTATAACAATATTCATTACATTTATATTAATTCTATAATAATAAAATAGAAATCATAATACTTCTTTATTTTTAACAAATCTCTCTTATTTCATTAATCTTTTTCTTATATTTCCAGGTTTCTAAGTTCTCTTTTGTTATCTAACCATTGATAAAATAAATCCCATATCATAAAATATTCAGTTTGTTCCTTTTCCTTAATTGTAAGTGTTAATCTATTCATTTCTGCACATTTTTAATCACATTATCATCTGTAGGGATCTCTTCACTTTTCCATTGTGCAAATACAATTCTGGCTGCAGTTAATACATCTAGGATCAAATATGTATTCCCCTTATTATAATTATCTGGTAGAATACCCAACAGAAATATTTCTGGTTTTAAATCAGTATCAAAGATCTTTATATTTTGTGATCTCCAATTCTTTGTCTTCTGTTCCAACTATTCCCCCAATATTGCCACATCAATTATCACACTTTCTTCTTTTCAATCACAATTAGGTCTGGTGTGTTATGAGCCAAGAATTTATTGGATATCCCACAGTATAACTCAGCATTATTTCTCTCAATGACTTCAGGGTCTTGGGCTAAGACATCTAAAAACCTGCTATATGAATCTATGATGTGGGGTGGCAGGAATTAAATCTGGAACTCTTGTCACTGAGTTATCATCTATTGCATAGTTGTCTTATACTTATAAGAGCTGTAGTGGCACAGTGGTTAGAATGCAGTACTGCAGAATACTTCTGCTGACTGCAATTTGGCAGATTGAATCTCACCAGGCTCAAGGTTGATTCAGCTTTCCATCCTTCCAAGGTGGGTAAAATGAGGACCCAGATTGTTGGGGGCAATATGCTGACTCTGTAAATTACTTAGAGAAGACTGTAAAAGCACTGTGAACCAGTATATAAGTCTAAGTGCTATTGCTATTGCTATTCTGTACTTTGCCAATGAAAGTTATCATATTTTCTTACAATTCCTACACTGGTTATCAGCTCTGGAATAGTTGAGAGCTTAAGAATGGAAAGTTGCAGAGTAAAGAACCTGGAATGGCCTTTTTAATTATTCTTAATGGAGTGGTCAATGTTGGGGCATTCCTCCATTGAAAACATCAAGTTTTTCATGTCTTCTAAGAAATTATAGCATTTTAATTCCCCCCTCTTATAACAACAAAAACAAAAACATTGTTTAAACTATGTGTTACAGAAGAGAACAAATGGTGCTCCGAATGGATTTTATTCAGAGATTGACTGGGAAAGATATGTAAGTTTAAAAAAAACCCGCTGTTGACAGCAGTCTTTTAAAACATTATTTGTTCCAGTGAGACTTGATTACTTATTTGCATGCTTATTATTGTGTCATACTGACTATGAATTATATTTTTAGCTGATCCTATCAGTCAGCACAAAATCAGTAACAACACCTGCATGTAAAGTATTCTGCTGATATATCTAGTTACCAGATACATCCCTGCAATTGGCCTGGACTGATTTTTTTCCCCATGAAACTAATGGATTATGTATAGAAGAGATCAGCCATGTCTATCTTTCCCCTTGCTAATAATATCCACCTACTGATGTATTGAAAGGATCCCGAACTGAATAAACTTCTGCTGATTGTTGGGAGCACTGAAAAGTAAAGAAATAGTAATGGAATCTATTATCTTCCCCAAATTTGTGGTCAGTGAGACTTCAACTACTTTTTTTAACCTTCCAGCAAAATCTAAGGCTAGAAGGAGCTGAAAAGTGCGAGATGGGTGGCTAATACACATTTATCAAATCAATCAATCAATCAATCTAGCTTCATTGGATCAGAAATTTAGAACTTTTCCACATAAGCAACCTTCTGTCTCCCAACACTACTCAGTCCAGTTTAAAAGGTATCCAAGGTTGATTTGAGCTGTTTTGTACCCTGTTTTAAGATCTATTTGGACATCAAACCAATACAAATGCAGTCATGTGCATTATATCTTTGTGGGGTGACACTTCACTGTTTCTTCACCTCCCTGGCCAAGAGCTGAGCGAAGAGAACTGCAAACTGGTCAGTGCTCACTGGTTATCCTTCCAAGCTGGAAATAACCAAAGACTTTGTCCATTCCCTCAGTTTGTCAGACGCATGCCTATAGAAGAATATTGCTTCCTCTCTGCACAAACAGAAAAGGAAATTGTTAGTCTTCCCCATCTAGTGTTTCATATGTATATGAACACTTTGCCCATTTGATTTGGAAACAAAAAAAAAATATTGCAAATCATTTGAAGGGAAGCTCAGTTTGAAGGGAAGCTCAGTTTCAGAGATATTGTTAATATGAAAACCATCCTCATAGTAGAAAAATACATTTCTCCTGATAATGTTTTCACATTAGTGAATTAGTCAAGATAGAATCAGGGGTGAAATGCTATCGGTTTGAGCCAATTCGCCTGAACCAGTAGTTTAAAAATGCTTTAAAAGGTTTTTTTTAAAGTTCTGACGATAACACAGCACAGCTGATTGTCACACAACTGATCGTTGGAATTTTTTTTTACTTTTAAAGCATTTTTTAACTACTGATTCGCATGCCTGCACAAAGCTAATCGGTAGCAGACTTTAGAGTATTTCACCCCTGGATAGAGTGTTTAATCTCTCACCATACAGTATATTTCTTTAATCCCTAAGTGTATTCTTTATTTTGTTAGGTAGCTGGGCATCATAAACAGTGTAGATATATAGTAATACTATTTTGCAAGATATCCCCTAGGAAGTTAGCTGTTTGGATTAAAATCTTTTTTATGTTTACTGCCTAATAAATTGAGTGACATGTATGCAGGTACAGTATGCATTTAATGTTCTTTTGGGGCCTCAACTTACAATCACAATTGGAATCAGAACTATTCAGTTGTTAAATGAATCATATCTGATCTTAGTATCTTTTTTGCTATGGTTGGTAAGCAAATCATGTGGTCATTAGACAAATTCCCCCATTGACAGCTTGTTGAAAGTCAGCTGGGAAAGTCACAAATGGCAATCCATGACTTCTGGACTCTGCAACCATTGTAAATACGTCTCAGGTATCCAAATTTTTATCATATGACCTTGGGGATGCTGTGATGGTTGCAAGTGTGAGGACTGCTTATAAGTCTTTTTTTCAGTGCTATTGTAACTTTGAATGGTCACAAAATGAATGATGATAAGTCAAGAACTGCCTGTATATTATCATCTACTTGTAGAGCAGGTTCAAGGTAGCTAACAGAGTTGCAAAAAATATATAGTACAAAAACAATGATAAAGAAATAAAATACACACCCTGTCAGGAACAAAGCCCCACAAAAATATATTTATATGACAATAGTAGCAGGCTCATATGTCCAGTACCAGGGAGAAGAGCCAAGTCTTTATAGAGCAGCAAATTTGGGGCTAGCTAAATTTTGGTGGAGGATATTCTATAGCACACAGTAGATGGGATTTGGAAAACATAAATTCTCGGTTTTTGTAGAATAGGCAGAAATTGGAGAGATAGTCCTTCGAATCACCAATATCTATGCTGTGTAGAGCTTTAGAGATAACCACTGCACCTTGAATTGTATATGAAAACCCCCTGATATCCAGTGCACCTAATACAATAGCGGTATTACATAGACTTATTGAGAGGGACCGAAAACTGCTTGCTCCCACTCTCTACCAGCCCATCCAGTTTGGGATGCCAGGGCCCATGCGGAGGCTCGGGGAGGGTGAAAAATGGGTATCCCAGAAGTTCTGGGAGGTTGGAAACAGCCTGTTTCCATGCTCAGAGGGGCTACAGAGCTCAGGTGAGGCCGTTTTAATCCTCCCAGAAGCTCAAGGATTACTTTTTTTCTGTTAATGATTATTTTTGTTGTAGCAATTTTTTTTAAATAGAAGGGGTTATAAATTCTCAAAATGAATAAGTAAAAGCCTCATTAATGAGGTTTTGAGGAAAAAGGGAAAAAGAAAAGAATGTTTACATTTTGACTCCTTCACTATATTTGCCATACCAGAATTCACCTGAACTTGATGAAGAAGGATACAGCATCAGACCAGACGAACCAGGCTATATCCTTTATTTTTAATTTGCAACTTCCTTGGTCAGATAGGGGGCTCACAGATGATCTAGCTACACCTGCCAGAATCCTTCTCATACTCAGTCACATAATCTTCCCAATGTCTAGCTTTTCTGATATTGAAAAAAAAATTCAACAGAGAGAAAAAGAATAGGATTCCAGTATTATTAGCATTTTTAGTCCTACGTTCCCAGTAAATATATATTGTGCCACTGGGAAGAGATTGCCTGATTCTAGATGCCATCTGCTCCTATAGTGGAGAACTCTCTACAATGGAGCTCTTTTGAGTGGAAACTGAACTTTCTGTTTTTTCTTTGAAGACATTTCATTTCTCATCCAAGAAGCTTCTTCAGCTCTCTTCTTGGATGAGAAGCAAAACATCCAAGCAAAGAAAAATCTGAAAGTCCAGTTGTCTCTTTAAAAAGAAACTTTGGGACAACCATGACCTGGATGACTGAGAATCTCAATAGACATCTCTACAGTGGACCATATTCAAGGTTCTTTCGAGCTGCTTAGCACTGTCTGATTTCCCCCTTTAAGTTTAGAGCTTCATTCCAACGTATGTACTGTACTGCAATGTAATGTACTGTACTGAACTAAAATTGTATTGTATGCCACTGGAATCATACCATTCATTTAAAACTGGTGCCTTGATGGACGTATCCTGAAACTGAAATAATGTTGTATTGTAGTCTACAGATTGGTTGCATTTCTCTTTAACTGTGATCTACCTACCAAAGGAAAGCACTTTTATTCTTCAAGTGAATCTGAAGAGGAAGAGGAGGCGCACAAGAAATTCAACATTAAGATTAAACCTTTGCAATCTAAAGACACTCTTAAGAGTGCAGCAACTGTTGATGAACTGAAAGCTTCTATAGGCAATATTGCACTTTCACCTTCACCAGTGGTAAGCAATATATTTTTAATTTGCTACTTCCTAAGACTTCCCAAATTGTATTTTGCTTATTTTCCAGGTGTGCCATACAATCAGTTTATGTTATTCATCTCCTCCAAATTTGGTTTTGTCAAGTATTTCACAGCATAAGGGCTTCCTACAAACCATTTTAGGTTCAAGATATGGTGAAAAATATCATGATTTCCATAGCTACTCAGCGCTCTTGACAGATCTTTTAAAGAGAGAACATTTTAAAGAAGTTGCAGCAATTTTCTCTGCATGCTGCTATTATGGTTTTAGAAATGAATACATGGCATGGATATGATCTATATTTTAAAAAGCATTTTGAAAACCATTTGAACGAGAAATAAGAGGCCACTTATTCAAAATAGTCATGAAATGGCCACAATTCAGACTTTTTTTAAAAAAAAAAATTAAACTGAGCTGTGTTGTTTGCTCTCCCATTTTTATAACAGTTATTGGAAATTGGGTTTCCAATTTCCAAAAGGGATCCAGTATAAAAAGATGAAGAATGTCATTCAAAATTTGCAGGTCAGAGATAAAAGATTTAAGTCGTTTTGAGATGCAGAAGTGATGGGTAGCATTACTGGGACCTGAATAATGTACCTTTTACTCTCAATAGTGCAAAGCTTTTATTTCTAGAAGTTTAACATGACAAGAATTCTCAAGACCTGATATTTTCAGTCAGAGTAATTCTGGCCAATTTGTTGGCAATGTCTAGAGCGACATGATGCTCTCTATTATAGCACTATCTCAGTATGTCCTTCCTTTCATCTATCTGTTCAGAGATGGCTGCATTCTGTGATTTTTGCTAATAGAGTACTGCATTGTGGTCCCTGCTTCTGAACACCATCAATTTATCTAGATCACCTTTCCCCAATCTTTCCAGCTTGATGGACTGGCAGAGACAGCGGCTGGGGGGGGGAGGGATAGTTTCGCTCACAAATGTAGCTCTGTGTGCGCGCACTCGCCTACCACTTCAGTAGCCTGGTTCTGAAAATGAACCCCTGATCTAGATGACATGTGCTAGCCTTCTAACCCTTACATCAGTTAGCCAAGTCATTGGCTGATTCACCAAGGTTTCTAGATACATATAACTCTTATTTCTTATCAAAACCCCATTTTCAGAAATGGATACCTGCTCATCATGCTGTCTAAGAAATCTTTCCAGTTCCTCAAAGCAATAGCCTCTTTTTCCAATGCAGCACATGGCTGACATTCTGGAAAAAGGCACACAAATAAGTATGATTTACTGGTAAAAAAGAGATATACTGTAAGTCCAATGGTCTTATGTCGGAACACCTTAGAGGGAGTTTGTACTTTACAGATACCTGAGGATGAATTCTATTAGTCAGTTCAAGGCTTCTCTGTCCAAACAGAGCTACTCAAACAATATATTGACCCAGAATTTTTATTGAGATTTGTTTCTGCTACACTGATGATTAATTCATTAAACACTAAATAGTACTTACTTTCATCCCACACAGATGGTTAGCTTCTAATTGACTCAACTACGACTCAATGGGGTGATTTGTTCATCAGGTAGATAGTTATATATCTACTTTGGAAATGAACCATTTTAATAGCATTCCTTCACAAAAATTATGCAAATGAATTGTAAGTCTGTAAGTTTATCACTCTCATAATAATAGTATCCTGACCATTCTTTTGTGGAAAAAACAGCAGTACAAAAAGAAGATAATTGTGACATTCCCCAATTGGTCCCTGGGTACTACTAATTACTAGATTTATAAGAAATGATTAGCAGTAAATAATAAAACTGTACATGCCCTGATTGCATAAATTTCTGTATTTCCAGTTAAAGAAACTATATGGCTTTGTTTCTTCTATCATTTGGCTCTAACACCACAGAATCCAACAACGTATTGGATATACAACTGGAAACAAATCTAGCTAAGCTAAAGTCATGGAAATTGTTTGAAACCTAATGTTGGTATAACATCTATGCCTTCATCATTTATTGCTGCACGAAGTTCCAACTTTTATGCATTGTGTGTGTATGTGCAATTTGGTGGTCTTTATTTCAGTAAATGAACCTTGCAATCATTATGAATTCACAAAGCTGATGCAGCTGGGTTTGAAAGCAACAGTGTGTTATATTGTAGTATATGGAAATCAAGTTCAAGAGGTGATTTGTAACACTCATTTCCTGGACTGTGGAAGACATGGAAGCTGTTAATCAGAATGATGACTTTGTTGCATTGGAGAGAATGCAGCTTCCTAATCAAGTGATGCCATGCAATTTAAGGAAGTTTCTAGAGCTGTAATGCTTTTCATGAATGCAGGATGATGAAAAGAATAACTTAAATAGCTTTATACTTACAATGTACAGTGTCATTTCTTTAAATTGAGTAGGGCTATACTTTATATTAGTGAGATATATTGTGTGTACAATTGTTTGCATAACGTAAAATCTCTGGAGCATTTAAACCAAATATTGTGATCTCTTGACTTGAAAAGTAATATCACTTGATTAGCAGCATTTGAATTCAATTTTATGTGCAAAACTATTATATATTTATTTTGGAATTTGCTATTGGCAAAAAGGTTTCTGTGAGTTGTTGTCCATCATGCTACCTTGATCAGAAAGTTAGTATGCTGAATCGAAATCCTTATATTTTTTAGTATTTCTAGTCAGAATATAATCGGCTTTTTCAAGGACTTGTGCTGTAATAGTACAGATGTTGATTCTAATTGTTACAGCAAAATTCGGGAGAAATGATACCCTTTTAAAAATATTTCAAAAGAAGTTTGTTCAGGTAGTATTACAAAAGTAAATAGTAATTGGAATATTATTATGGTAGTGTAGAAATTCTCTAATAGCTAGATTTAATTTACTTAAGAAGAGAGAATTATATACTATATATGGGAAAGTGTGCTTACATGGTTCATATGTATATATCTAATGGATTTTGACCCAGATGTACATTAAATAGAATTTAATATATTGGGGTGGGGAAAACACTTTTTGCTGATTTCTCCTTTCCCTGCAGCTTTTCTAAAAATGCTCTAAGTGTTGAAAAGCTACCTAAAACAACATAAGAACAACACAGTGGGGAAATATGAAATGTCCCAAAATTATTATTTCACCTTTTGTTCTAATGGAACACTTTTTAAAATGCTGGTTTCCTTTAGAAATAAAGTCATGTCATTCAGTCCAGAGATAACCAATTTAAATTCAAAAGTGCTATATTTTTGAAGCAAATTGGAAGGCTATATTCGAGACTGTTGTTGTGCCCCACAGAATTGATTATATAACTAACATTTTCTTCTTTTGCTCCTGAATATATGACTCAGTGATGCAAATTTAAGGTTTAGATGTCTCATGAACTGAAAATCCACTGTGAGTCTCTGTTTCTTGCTGGAAAGCAGCACCTGAAAAGATTAAAGACAAAGATTAGAGCAGGTCTGAAATTACTTCATCTGCACCTTTATGCAGTATTAAGACAGAAATGAAAAAAATGCCCTGTTAAAATATAAAAGGAAAGGCTGGTACAAAGCATATATTCTATATATTCCATTTGTTGCTCAACAAGAAGTCATTTCCACTTTATATGACTTTGGGGAGGATATATGGATGATGGTGGCAGCCTATCTGTTGGCTATAATTCTTTCTATGATGGGATTTATTATGCCTTTCTTTAAAGAGATTAGAGAGCAGCAGACCTACAGTATTTTAAAACTGTTTTTTCAGGAATCGTTGCTGTTGAATTTTGCAAATGCAAAAAACATAAGCCCATCTTAAAAAATTTCCTTCAAACATCACTGTTATAAAATCATGACTCACTGCCTAAAGCAAGGTTTACTTGAAATGTAATGGAATAACGTTAAATAATGCAATAATAGCAATTATTTGCTCTTCTTAGTAACATTATGATTAGCTCAATAATGTATTCTAAGCCACTAGATGATGCATTATTTTTCTACAAATAAAATGATGATGATATGTTTCTGTGTGATGAATGTTGATGAGCTGTTCTTCAAGGTGATGTGTTAACAAAATATTTTTTGTGAGATGGTTATACTGCCAACCTCATCATTGAGAATTTATGCCCAAATAATGCAACACGATTAGTGGAAGAAGAAGATAAGATCAGTGTGCCCTATTTCCCTCCTTCTTTCTTCCTTCTTACTCTAATAGACTTAGCAAGGATTTGCTGAACTTCATAGTCTACTTTAGATAATGACCATCTGCTCACAATAGAAAAAGTATGATGGGGGAGCACTTGGGAGCAAGTAATATTTTTGACATACTACACTATTTAAAAGGGGGGGAAAAGGGAAAATGATTAGGAATTGACACATGATAGAAAAGATCAGTGTCGTTTAAGCCCTTTTGTGGCACTTTTTCAAAGAAGAACTACCTTCTCAGCCAACTCCTCTCATAACTTATGGAGATGGCAAACAAATAATTATGGGCTGAAAAGGAAACAGCAGCAAAGATTTCATTTTTTGTATCTGGTGAGGGAATTAGTATTTAGAGCCTTCTGTTGAATTTTAATTGGATTCTATTTTATTACGAAAGGAAGTGTGCTGTTCCAATGCATAACCAGTAAGTTTTCTTCTCAATTCAATTGTTTAATAGTTTCTGATTGCAAAGCTATGCAGCATTACTTGCGAGCAATTCTCATTGAACACAATATGTCTTGCATCAACAGATATGTGTAAAATCTAAACCTGCTTAAGCTGAGAACAATCTGTCAGGTTTTTTTACCAATATATTTATCATTCCATGTTATCAGAAGCCAGTATGTTTTATATTTTGTTATCCTTCTTAGCCAGGATAATAACCTTATGACTGGTATTTACCTTTTTTCAAGGCAATTATATTAGTTAGATGTTGAAGTAGTTGGAATATCACCATTTTTTTCATTAATGGATAATAATGGAACTGATTTTTTTTAAAAAATTCTGATTAATCAGAGACAAATAAAATAGCACCAAAATAATAAAAATATGGTAAGTCTCTTGGATGGGTCACAGATAATCATTAAGGTCCATCACATTTGTTTGATTTTAATTAGTAGCTAAGCTAATTGTTTACACATTTAGAAATATTACAGTGTACATCAATAATGAGTAATTGGATCTTTGCAATATTTCAATGTTATGATTCTATGCGTACTCACACTAAATAGTCTTCTCTATTTTGGCTACTGTCTAGTGGTGTGTGAACAACTTTGGCCACTGCTGGGCATTCTGGGAGTTGAAAAACATGAATTAAAAAAATGTCCAGCTTAAGGAAGGCTGATTTATGGCAAACCTCTTTAATCCCGTTACAACTTGTTTCTGAATAAGTAGGCATAGCCTATATATTTTACGAATGGCTAGTTCTTTTTGACTTTCTCTTTTGTCTATAAAAAGTTTAGTCTTTTTCTTGTTAAAGTTTATATTCGTGGGAGCTTTTGAAAGTAAATTTAATTAAAATTAATTTATTTCTGAATAGATGTCTTTAGGACTGATCTGTAAAATATTTAATGTATCATTTCATTAGTTTTTCCATGGATTATGCACAGTGGAAAATGCTATTTTTTTTTCTTCTTTATCTTAATGCATTTTGCAGAGGAAAAGTCCGGTAAGAAGTCTTCTTATTCCCTAATACACTCATTTTATTGGATGTAAACAGTTTGTGTGTGTGTGCACTCACGTGCATGTGCGTGCGTCCATGCACACATGCACATACATACATATTTTGTAGCATTTGGGAAGGTAGTGCTGTCAGGTTATTCATCTTCATGTCATTTCATAAGAAGGAATAAATGAAGGACAGTTTTGGAAACATAGACTTTGAGAAAGTAGCACAGTTCTTCCCCACATATTGCCAGCAGCACTAATGGGAAATAAAAAATGGCTGCATATTATTTAAATCATTTGCTTTCTCTGAAGAAGCAGGAACCATGTTATCCATGCAGGCCACCTGGTTGCCTCTCAAGCTAATTGTCCTTCTAAAGTTGTTAGAATAAATAGGCAATCAGTGAGGATTTGAGAAGTGAGATTCCAAGGTAAAAGAATTCATTTTGAACTTTTGAGATACAGTTTGATAAAAGATTTGAAGATTAAATACCGTTCAGTATAACATGAAAATGTCAAAGTATCAGCAATCTTCCAATGAGAATGGAATAAAAAATAGCATGGATGAAGATCCTTTAGGGAATATTTAGCCTGCAAGTTTTGAGCCAGATAGGTTTAAAGTTTGACCCAATAAAGTAGGGCTGTCACACTCCCAGCCCCCAGGTAGGATGTATCACGTGCTGGCCACACTTGGTTTAGCGAAGGGGAGAAAAGTCCAAATACATCATGTAAAGCCGCCATGACAATGTGAGTTTGACACCCGTGCAATAAAGCATTGAAATATTCTTACTAAATGTCTTTAAAGGCAGAAGAAGAGAGAATAGGAAATGAAAAGCAAAGCAGCTTCAAAATTCCTCAGCAGAGAATCTATAGAGAATTTGCACTGAATTCACACAGCAAATTAATTTTGTTACTGAAGATTGACAAATTTATTACTCATAAACACATACTCTTCTAGACTAGGAGATATATTAGCACGGCAGTGGCAAAATTAGACCCTTCCAGGAATAACTTATTAGATATTGCTTATGTGACAATATTTAAAAGATATAGAGTTTTGTATTTGACTCTTTTGAACATAACATATATAATATAAAGAATAGTTTGTATTATATTAGTCTAAAAATAAAACATACTGTCTCAAACACACACAGTGAAGAGACCAGAAATAACAGATTCTTACTATTTTAGGAGAATAGGACTCTCAATGAGCTGATAAATTGCAGGTAGACCAGACACAAACAAAACTTAACTACAGATATGATAAATAGAATGAGACAAAAGTAAATATAAGGTAAAAGTTATGTAAAGAAATAATAGGGATACACAAATATTGACAACATCCAAAGTGTGCTCTGCGTTTTTCAGGGGGGGGGGGGGAAGAAAAAAAAAGGTAGAAGAATATTTAACTCCAAAGTATGGTCAATTTCCAAAACAAGGAATAATTGCCAATTTTTTAAAATATAAGAAGCTGACAATGTATGCCAGACATTTTTAAGATAGTGCACATGTTTTTGAATTTCCAAATAAGTACTGGAAGTAATTGCAAATATGAAAAGGCCAGTCTGCCAAACTGCCCAAAATATGTAAAGAAAGAGGAAATGGTTTTTGATTAATTTTAAATTTTAATTAAATGTAGATCTATAACACTTCAATTAATTTTAGAATTATAACAACGTTTCAGCAATTAATATGTTAGATAAAATAAGCAAATGTAGATTTTCTGTTGCTGTTATTCCTGCAAGTATCTTCATAGTATAGGTTCATTTTTAAAATCAAGTTTAAACAGGCTGAAGACCTTAAGTGGATTTGGGAAGAGAGCTATCTGAAGAAAAATAGTTTTGAAGTTGGTATTTTGTGAAACTAGATCTCCTGCCATCCAAAGACATTTTTACTACTGATCTTTCACTCTCTGACTAGGTATCTGTTCTCTCTTCCTTTTTGCTGATCACAGAGACGCAGCCCGGTAGGTCATGAATTCATGTTCAAACAGTTGTGTAAATGACTGTGGGTTATTTTACATAGGATTAATTTAAATTTATTGGGAATATGCCTCGCATATCTTGCAGAGCGCATTTGGGAGATACTTGCCAAACTTAATAAGGATCACATTGACTAAGAAATATTTCCCATTTTATTCTCTTTAAAATCTGTCCTACTGAACTCTTGATCGTTCAGTTCTTCTTGGTCTTCCCTTTTCCTTGGATGTGATGTTATGGCCTCATTTAAAATATTATATTAAAATATTTCATGGAATATGGTTTGAAAAGAAAAGAGCTGCCTTGAAAAATACAGGCAGAAATGGACAGAATAACCATTCTGGATCCAATCCTCTGTCACCCTCTATTCTGATATATAAAGTACTAGCCTATAACCCGGTGTTGCCCGGGTATTTATTTATAGAGGGAAGATGTCCGGACCAAAGGTAATTTCTAATGTTGGATTTTCCCGCTTACCAGAGGGAGTACTCTGGTGGAGTACTGAGGGAGTACTCTGGAGTTACCCTTGTGGAGTACTCTGAAGCTGTTACCATGGCAACTCCACTGCAGTGTATAGTAGAAGCCAGTATGGCAGTACGGCACAAAAGGATGTATCTTAAAAGAACGCACACCCGAGGGGTGTTAGAGGTGTCTTACCCCACAGTATTTTTCTTCAGAGAGCAAGCCATCTGTGTACCAGGTTTAGTTAAAATTGCTTGAGGCATTATAGAGTTATGCTGGAACATACACACACAGCCATTTTATATATGGAATAGAAGTAGAATAGAAAAGAATAGAATAGAATAGAATGGAATAGAATAGAATAAGATAAGGCGTTATCAGAAGAGCATGTAAGAACACCTTTTGCACAGATATGTCCTGTTTATATTTCATACTTCCTGAGAATTCTATTTTCTGTTTCAATGGGTTGTTTTTTTTTCATCTTCTGCAATACTAGTCTTTAATTTTTTAAAAATAGACATAAAACAATGTATAAGCAAATGAGATTTTATGAAAGTATAATCCAGCTCTGAGGCTATAAACATGTTGTTCTAGGACTTTTTGGCAAATTGTGTATGTGTGAAATTCTTGTGGAAATACATCTGTAACTTTTACCTTCAGCTCTATTCAAAAGATGTTTGAATCTTTTAGTGTATGTTTTGTTTTACAAATATTATTTATCTTTGTTTTTTCAGCATTTCAAAAGAGAGCAATATTCCCTTTAGATAAATATAATCCATTAATTCTAAACTGTGGTTTTTTTGTATTTAATTTTAGGGTACAGTTAAGAGGAACCTATCTAGTAAGTATCATTTAAAAGCAAATTGGGCTTTAACTGGTGACTACCCGTAGATGGGGTAGATTTCTTTCATAATTTTCATATCCTAAAAGACCAGCAGCAGCTAATTAACAATAAAGATTGCATTCAGAACATCAGTGAAATAGACCTCAGAACAGATTGAGAATACATCTGCATGCTGCTATGAAATTCTGTACAAATGCATAAACATAATTAATAGATGCATTATAAATCAAAGTTTCCATGCAGAATGCAGTTAGCTGACTGCACAGACCATATCAGTAGGCTGTAAAATATATATTTCTCTGAGTGTAATTGAAATATCAATGGAATATTCTCATATATCTAATAAAAATATATATATTTAATGAAAATATTTTCATTGCATTTATTTTTCATAAAAACACATATGTAGCCCTAGAATCAGTGATGAAATTCATAATGTTTTATTACCGGTTCTGTGGCCATGGCTTGGTGTTCATGGCAGGGCAAGGATACTGCAAAATCCCCATTTCCACCCCACTCTGGGGTGAGCCAAAGGTGGTATTTACCAGTTCCCTGAACTACTCAAATTTTCCGGTACCAGTTGTCCAGAACCTGTCAGAACCTGCTGAATTTTATCCCTGCCAAGAATGTGAAATGTTATAGTATATGTAGAAAGACTGGGGGCATAATTAATCTCAGTTGAAATGTTTTATGAAATCTTGTATTTGTTAAGCGGCCACAGTTAGGTTTCTGCCTGATTTATTAAATATTAGTATGCATTAAGTAGAAAAATGTAGCTTGCCTAATTATAATTTTAATATTATACAATTGTTGGCCATATGATCATATTTTGAAGAGATATTAAATTATAATATAATATGGTCCAAAGCTATTGTAGCCTTTCATACAAAGCAGTTTTACTAGTGTTCCTTCCAGTTGTCCAATCATGGAACCCATATATAGCCTTACATTCAGTCCCAGCTTCCCATCCTTAGACTTGTCTTATGAGCAAAGAAAGAAAATACCCTTTTGTTAAATTTAAAGTCAATGAAAGTGTGGCAAAGTGGTATGATAGAATAGGAAAAATGCTGAAGAGCTAGGAAGCAGGAAAGTTGAGAATTCCGGTTAAAACAAGAATTCTCCCATAGCTTAGTACCGTGATGGCGAACCTATGGCACGTGTGCCTGAAGTTGCACACAGAGCCATGTTGCCTGGCATGCATGGCATCACCTGTTCCTCTTCCGGGTTTATGGAGTGCATGTACGCGCAATGATCAGCTGGCCTTTGTGCATGCAGCAGTGCTGGAAACTGGAAGAGCTGGTATTCTGTTTTCTGGTGTGAGCATGCATGCTAGCCAACTGATCATCATGCGTGCCAGTAACTGGAAGACTAGCTGGCCACCACGCATGTGCATGATGGAAACCGGAAGTTCATTTTCCAGCAGATGTATGCCCCCTTTGGAGCGCCTCTTCCGGGTTGTGGCCAGATGAGTGCGCGCGCACTCCCTTTTCGGCACCCGGTGCTGAAAAGGTTACCTACCACTGGCTTAGGAGGTCACATAGCAGAATTGTTCTTGCAGTAATAACTCCTGCATTCCGCAAAATTAATTGTCTCAACTGCAAAATGTTTACAAAAGTCACAATATTATGCAAAAGGGATATACTTGTGGTCTCAGATCAGCACCAATGCTACATCTTCATGGGCCCACTGTTCAGTTGGTTTTATTTAATATTCAGCAGGCAGTTTGTCTACACTGTACTCCAAGAAAACAATTTTAAATGTATCTTTTGTGCTAGGTGAAGAGATAGCAAGACCCAGGCGTTCAACTCCTACTCCAGAGCTTCTCAGGTTAGTGTAAAATTGAGTTGCCAATGATGTGGAATTCTTATTCCCAAAAAGGACAGGTGCAGAGGGATTACTGTTTTGTGCTTGATTGCATTAAAAGATTAACTCTACATTTGTTTCCTATAAAAATGTATAAAATTATAGTTTCTTAGCTAATTTAGCACCAATTTTCAACCCTGTATGTGGCTCTATATGCAAAATGGTGTTCCCTTTTTATTTATGTCTTGAATATGAAAAGAATACTATAATGCAACTTTTTATCTAACTTTTAGAGATTCTGGGGAGGACTTCCATCTGTATCAGACTGCGAATTTTCACAGATATGATAGCTTGGTTGCCAGATAATATTATCAAATTAAGACAGCCTACTGGCAGAAATGTGTAAACAAAATTTACAAGCCAGTTCTTGCCTTTTATTTATATTTACTTACTCTATTATTTATACTCATAAGACTCCAAATACATAAATAAAATGGATTCAAAATATAATAGATTTATTATTTTATTGGATCACAGTATTCATTTTCTGAGTGTTTATCCAAAAATGTGTAATGTTTGAACTATTGATTAAGACAGAACATTGGACAAAGAAGAAACAAATTATACCAAAAGAACCATTAGAGTTTTACAAAAGGAAAGGTATCAACATTTCTTTGATATCATTTGATTATTAAGTATGTCCAGGAACAAACACAGGGAATAACTGGTATCAAATGACTTTGAATCAAAATATTTGAAGAATAACTTTTTTTATCCCAATCTGCTATGATAGAGCAAATACATAAACAATCTGATATCACAGTTTTATATATACGGTACACATATATTTGCACACATGTGTGTGTGTGCGTAGAGTGGGAGGGGGGGAGGTACGGAGAGGGGAGGGGGAGGGAGGGAGACAGAGAGACAGAGAGAGAGAGAGAGAGAGAGAGAGAGAGAGAGAGAGAGAGAGAGAGAGAGAGAGA